CATCATCAGCATCATACTGCTGGATGGTCCGATACACCCTTCAGTACCTTTCCTTCCAGTTTGTCATCCATTGTTGTGGTACATATGTAAAATGAAAAAAATTCTATTCTATTCTATTCTATTCTATTCTATTCTATTCTATTCTATTCTATTCTATTCTATTCTATTCTATTCCGTAAGATGGCAGAAATCATTTTCAAAGCTCTCTGTCAGCGGCTATTTAAAAAGAGAAGAAGAAGAGGAGGACACCTTTTTCTCTCCTCGTGTTGGCTGACTTGGTACACATATTTTAGAACAGAATTCAGAAGCGAGACAAGATATCATGTTGAATATTATTCAATCAATTTTTAGAATTAGAAAATATGGATCCAGGGTGAAGTTTATTTGCATTCCTGCTCATACAGGAATAGTAGGAAATGAGTTGGCGGATAAATTTGCTAAGAGTGCAGCAAAAAGGAATAGTGTTGAGATAAATATCAAAATAAGCAGAAATGAGATCAAAAGTATAAGTAAAATATATATATTTTAAAAATGGCAGGAATTATGGGATAGAGAAGAAAAAGCAAGATTCTATTATAGCATTAAAAAAAAGTGGGGGAAATGTAGGGAAGGTAATAGGAATAAAAAAAGAAGAGGATGTTATATCCAGATTAAGGTTTGGGCATACAGAGCTAAATAGTACTTTGAAAATAATGAATAAACATAATACAGGTTTTTGTAGTTATTGTGGAGAGTCGGAAACAATGCAGCATATTTTTCTATAATGTAATAAATATGGTCGGGAAAGAGAGGTGTTAATCAGAGAGTCAAATAGAAATAAATATAATTAGATATTAAAAATTTGCTGCAAAGATCATCTGAGGATGTAGTATTTAACAGCATTTTTAGTTTTCTTATGGGAAGATTATAGTGTTAGGTCATCTTCTGTACTCCAGTCTGGAAGGTGGCGGTAATGTACCTGTGAGTTATTTGCCAACCGCCATAAAACAAAGAGAAGAAGAAGAAGAAGAAGAGTTTGTACACGTTAGCTTTAAGTAACTGCGCATGCGCACCACTTCCTTCTTCTACGCTTCGGACTTGACACGGTAAAGTCTTGCTCCTTGTTTTGTTTTCATTTATTATTTCCTTTCAGGTTTTATTCAGGTTTGTCGTCATTTTTTAAACCCTGAATCTGCGCTGCTTTTATAAACTCACAGAGGGTTTCAGGAGCATTTCCTTACGGTGCCGACGTAGACGGTTAGAAAGTCCACGTAAGCGTAACTTAGCAAGGCGAAATGTAAGTTTGATTTCATCGGTTTTAGCTCGGCTACGTGTTTTTTTTTATTATAGTTTTCCTGCTGATTTGTGTAGAAATGTCTCATGGTTTTTACTGGACAAAGCCCTACAGTTCCGAACATATCTCCAGTTAAACCAGGCTAACATGAACACGTCCAGAGCTGGGAGCCGGTGATGTTTGTGGTGTTTTGTGACACAGCTTGTGTGTGTCTCTTCCAGATGACCATGATGGTGCTGCGCGTGAGTGTGCTGCTGCTGGCCGCGCTCGTGCTGGTGGCAGGAGAGGAGGGAGCCCGGCTGCTGGCCTCCAAAGCCCTGCTGAACCGCTACGCTGTGGAGGGCCGAGACCTGACCCTGCAGTACAACATCTACAATGTGGGCTCCAGGTGGGTTCAGTAAAACCAGTCCTGGACCACCGAGCAGGTTTCAGCTGTGAGAGCTGGGGTCTGGTGGTAGTAGCTGAGCATCATCCCCAACACAAGTGCTGCACACAGGTCCACACTCTTCATTCTAGGTCTTATTTCATGGTTTCTTTTATAAATGTTTTTATTTTTTCACTATCGGTTCTCCTCAGTTCTTGTAGTGAGGGTTTCAAATGTTATATAAAATCCTAGGGCTGCAACTAATGATTATTTTAATAATCAATTAATCGGTTGATTATTTTTTCGATTAATCGGCCAAATCAGTAAAACACTTAAATGAATATGAGTAGATATAAATTAAGTTAACTCCTTAAAGATGCAAGTTATTGATAATGAATTAATCTGAAGTTGATTTATCT